ATTCTCTGAAAATTTAGCACGCGTTTTTTTTTTCCTGATTGTAATGTTAGGTTATATCTGCCAATCAAATCTTGTGTGGTCAAATTCATGTTTTCTAAAGACATAGCCTGATCTCCAGTTATTAGGCGCTTGTTCTCTAAATTCTTTAGCATGTGTTTTAGTTCTAGATTTATTTTCTTATATCGCCGTGTTTTAGATTGCAATCTCTTAATCATCAAACGCTGGCTTGTAATTACACCTTTATTTGTCTCGATTATTCGACGTAACTTTTGTTTTCTGGGTGTATCAAGATTAATCGATGGCTGATTTTCCGTGTGCTAGAACGATAGATTTAAAATAAATAAATTGTTGCTATGAAGCGAAATAAGGACAATCAAATAAATCAAGGCTTACATTTGAGGATGGTAATGGGAAAACACGTTTGCGTGAAGGAGTAGATGGTAGCGTAGACGTTACCGGCAGAGCGGATGTTGACGGAATGTCTGCTGTGGACTGCAAAATTTGATATCATTATACAAAACATAGTAGAGTCACACCCCGGACACTCAATAAAATGTATATGTATATGCTATATTTTAAAAATTACATCTGTTACGTTGTGCCGCTGTCGTTTTGAAACATTATTACATTGTTTTTATGTTTTGACTAAAGATTGTATTGAAACTTACATTTTCAGAGCATAACTTCCATATATTCAATGTGGGTATGCTTGATTTCAATAAATTGCATCTTTTAGCAGTGACATTAAAATCATTTTCTTGAAAATGGATTGAACAAATTCGACTATTTTCTGTAGGGAACCAGTCCTGTCTACCAGTAAGATTTATCCATTTTTCTTTAATATCAGGATCTTTCGGGAATCTAGAAATAATTGATAATTATGTTCTAGTAAATATAATTATTTATACTTCCTAAAAAAACAACATTTTCTGTACATTTATCAGCATGCTAAACATTTATAGATGCAAACTTAAACAAATAATTAAATTCTAACAAATAATTTAATTAATGAAATTACTGTATAATTATTATTAAGAATATTTTACGTTCAAATGTTGTTTAGTTTTTACGTTCGAGAATCTAAAAATATCCCTTTATACAAACATCGATATAACCCGTGCTTTCATTCAAATGAATGACACGGTACACCACTAACGTGCGACCGATGCCTGCAGCCGTATTATAAGCATACGCAATTCACAATGATATCTAATGTTCACATTACATTGCTTGGCGATTTTGTCAACGTCGCGTACGTTGCGTATTACGATAGAACAAAAGCAGCAATGGTAATGTACAATACGAAAAGTAATAAACGAAAGTTTACAAATGTAAATATCATAGTAAAGTATTCAGCTAGATGTAAATTAATTATAACAATGATAATTAGTAAATAATCAACTTACCGATGAAAGGTTATGCCTTTATTAGTTGAATTACACGTCCTTGATGAGTTTTTACAACCGTTTATGCTGCAGTTCACCATTATAATAACATAAATTCACGTCCGACGTTCCGCGCAACTAAATCACAAAATGTGTAAATGATGTCCGTCAACACATCATAGCGGCGACAAGGTCACGCGTCGATACGACTTCTAGTGTCTTATTATTACGATTTCTGTGGTTGCAACCCCTGAGGACTAAGATGGAATGCCTCGTTTCCAGTAAAAAGGGTCTCCGGTTCTCTACACTCACCATACGAAACACAGCAGCGTTAAGCTCCTATTTTACACTGGTATTCTGTGAGAGCGGTGTCCTTCCCCGGTCGAGCTGACCCATTCGTGCTACAACTATACCAGTAATATAGCTGCAGTATGGGTCAATCACGTATAAATTGAAAATTTCGAAGATGATCCCATAATAAAAAATATTCATGTTGACGGGCAGAATCATTCCCTAAGTTATTAAGTACTATTTTGTTACACCTTTAGTTAGTATATAAGACTGGGGAAAAAGTTTCTTCGTATATTGTATACAAATTCAAGACGTTTTTGTTTTAAAGTTTTATTACATTTAATTATAATATATATGGGTCCATTCTGTTCGATAATTTGTTGCCATCTTGTAGGTAGTGACATAATAAAAAATAAACGTTGCTGTAGAAATCTTGGGATTTTGATTAAAAAAATGCGACAAGTAGTTTTATTTGATATATTCAATACCAGAGATTTGAAGGTACGTGGATTTAGTCATCCCGTTTATAACGGAAAAAAAATTATAAACTTAAATATTAAAACCTCCAGAAAGCTTTCTTTTAAAGAACAAGCAACAAAAGAAAATAATGAATAAAACTTTTAAACCAGTTTTAAGTACTCAAGCAAATACTGGATTTTTAGGAATGTTAGTGTGTATTGAAAGTCTCAAATAGATAACTAATCTTGTGATCTGGCGTTATCATGATAAAAGACCACTCCTTTTCTGATTATCAATGCGAGCCGTTTTTTTTTCTATTTCTTGCTTGTCTCATTATTTATTGGTAGTAGAGATCCGAATCGATGGTTTTACCCGGCATTAAAAGCTCATGATAAACTTTCAATACCACCATACACACAGCATCATTTTATTGCGTGTTAATCCTGGTTTCGCTTTAGTCTGTAAGCAAAACACATATCAATACAGAAAAAAATCACGTTTCTTGTATGTTCTTTTATTTTATGTTAAAATTTCGAAATTGTATGATATTTAATGATAGTATGTGATTCCAGTGTCTTTCTTATTTCTTGTAGTATTATTTTTACACAGTTTCAATACGTAAACTGGTATTTTACTTCGGATTGTGACCAAAATTTAATAAAACGTTCGCCTCACACGTTGTCTGCATCGCGACTGGCTCGGGTACGCCGATTTTGGCGTAGTATTTGTTGCGGCATTTTACATGAGCGCCGGCGGTATCTAGTCAGAGCGCGCGATGACTTATCTAATAATCTATGATGCGTTTGTATAGAAACGGGAGTGATGTGTTAGGATCGCGCCAAATGGAAATCTGTTTCTAGTCTCTGGTCTCTGCCTATCCCTCTGCCTAACTGACGTGAAAGTTTGTGTATATTTGTAAATATTATTTTAAATTATATATCGCTGATGATTAAACTAGAATTGTTGTTTTTTTTTTATAAAATAATTAAAAACTAGATACACAATCCCATGCAAAAGTTCTCTAAAAACTGTTGCCAATTGTTTTGGCATAATTCTATTTGAAATAAATATACATTAATGTAAATTCTACCTTAAATGCATTGCCTAAAGTTGTATTCACAAAGCTACGTACAAATTAAAAGCGCACCCAAATGTCCGAGTGGACGAGAAGGACATTTTTGTCACTGATTGTGTATCTAGTTTTTTATTAGTGATAGATGAGTATAATAGTATTTTAGTATATAGCTAATATGCATGTTTCGTCTGATTATTTAATATTACCTAACAAAATAGTTAAGTACTACTGTGAAATTCTCTAGGACCTAGAGAATGTCACAGTAGTACTTAACTATTTAAAAAAATATTATTAATAAAGTTAATCGCCTAGACTCTAGGTGATTAACTTTATTAATAATATTTTTTTAATTCTTATAAGTTAGTTATCTATTTATTAATTTTGCATATCCATTAAATTTATAAAAAAAAGTTATAGTGAATTCAAAGTGTTTTGTACACTGTTTTTATTCGCATTAAAATTATTTGAACGTAATATTGCATTAATCATTTCCTTTTAGTCACATTTTTCTTAATAGTACTTAAAAAGTGGGATGCGGTAAGTAAAGACTGTGTAAGAACCTCCGAAGGAGGCGGAGTTATAGGCGAAATAAGAATTTTTAATTTTTGGTTTTAGCCATTTTGACCCCCTAGGAGTGTAATGAGAACATTTTGCCCCTATTCAACCATGACCCATGACATCCTCTACATGATAGGCTATTCAAACTTACTAGGCCTAAAGTTCGCTTCACCTTAATTACCTTTGGGTCATTGAACTAGGTATGAAATGATAAATCCTAGTATAGATCAATTATAAATTATTTAAATCCTAATATAAATAAATTATAAATTATTTAAATCCTTGTATAGATAAATTATTTAAATCCTAGTATAGATAAATATATTTTGTAGAATAGTCATGCATGCACACACAAGAAGTGACAATCCCGTTCTAAATATCACAAAAGAAACTTAACATTTCGTAAAGAAACTAAAAAAGACCGACTCGTTTTTCTGCAAACAATTTCGATTTATAATTTTTTACATCTTCAGTGTGACCATTTTTAGCAGATTTCTGTCATTTGGATAGATTGGGTTACTAAATTTTCAATTGTGTTTACGTTTTGTGTAAGTGGCAGCAATTAGCAGATTTAAAAATATTCAACTTGTTTTTTGCGGTTTTGGAAAATAAATTGAAAAATCGTTATTTTTTTATAACAGCGAAGGCAAGGTGTGTTTATACATTTTACCAACACCTCCTGTCCTAAGTTAATCTTTAGTTTTAACGGTGGTTTCCCATTTTAAGTGATTTGTTAGGACGTGGTGGATGTAGCACAAGAATAATTTTAAGTGTCCATAGATCTGATGACTGAATCATATTTAAACTTCGCGAATTTTGTTAAAGCATACCTACTTATGTTTGCGAATGTCAAACGTCTCATGTGAGAGTGAGAGGTTTTTCTCGCAAATAAACCTTATTAAAACTACATATTCTTAGATAGGGTTGGTAGATATTGGTAGATAGATTTTCAGCCAGCGTTGGGCAGGTTCTCAATTTTCGCGATGGTCACACTGAAAATGTTGCTTATTATTTTTCTTAGTTTTGCTGACAACAAACTTAATATCCAAGTAAGCCTTACTATATGGGAATTGTCAATCCTCTTGTTCTTATTTGTTCATGGTGTAGTTTTTACGCATGAAGCTTATATAAAAGTAAATATATTTAAATATTGTTTCACAGCATGTATGTAGATTTAGCTTACACTACTGACGTAAGGTACCAGTGGTGACGGATAACATTGTCAATTCCAGAAACCTGTACCACCTCGTGGACAACCTCCGTCTCAAGACTTCGATGATTGTTGATTCCAGTGTCCCCACCATTTACTACGGCGCTAGGACTCACAAGCAGTTGCAGCAAGTCGTGAAGGAGTTTGCGAGGACGGATTATTGTGGCGAGATGCTTATGACGATCCTGTCTAGCAGAGACTATAGCTGTATACGGGAGTTCGACCGCCAGACCTGGAGCAGTAAGAATGATATGTGTAGGGCTTGTATTAAGGTAATTATTTATCGCTTGACTTTTGAAAAATCAGCACTCTATTTTGGTACAAGTGATTGATTATAAAAAGTTGGTAACCCTGGCTGAAATTTAAAACCGTCTCGGTACTTCACTGCTCAAGGCAACTGGTTCGTTTTAACCTACTATAAAAAAGTTATAGGCGACTATTTACACATTTTTTACATTTACTGCACCACATCAAAGTCTCTCTGTCGCCTCTTACTATATCTACTGGTTGGCATAAAGTAGAGATGTTACGGAGGTTCGATTCCGATTTCGAAAGTTCGGAACTTCCTATTGATTTTGCACCTTCGATTCCGATTTCGGTTCCGTTAAATTTTAATCGGAAGTTATAAATCGAAGGTCGATGCACATTGGCTGCGGCGGCCGCGATCAGTGTGTACAGACAAGTTTATACTTGTCACCTTGATAGCTTGATGTTTTGTTTCGTAATTGGCATTTGACAATCGGCACGTTGTGCGTTCGCGCTTCATTTATACTTACCCGAGTTTTTTATTAGTTTTAGTAGTGTTTTGTAACAAATTTATTTGAATTGGACAATGAAGCCAAAATCAAGTGCCATTGCGAATTATTTCAATGAAGTTTCTGGGAATATAGCAAAGTGTAAACTATGTGAGAAGATATATTCACGAAAGAGAGGTACGACTACTTCGTTATAAAGTCATTTCAAGTCTGTGCATGCTACTGAATACGAAGAATTCAAAAAATTTGAAACTGAAAAGAAAAATACAGTGCAATAGACCTGCCCTTAACACATCTCTTCTGCCTCCACTTCCGAATTCGGTTCCGATATAGCCACTTCCGTAACATCCCTAGTACAAATTAATGAATTCTCTTACACCGCCAATACTTACTTTAATTGCTTTAGATTATTAATATTATTTTAGATATTTGCAAAATTAATTTAATTCTATATTTCCTCTAGCCATTCGATTCGACAAGAGATCGCCAAAGTGACACGAATTGCAAGTTCTACGACAATAGGATGGCACTCAACCACAAGAGTCTGCCCCCGGCCTTCGACCTGGATGAGTTGGTTGCAGCAGGAGAGGAGATGAGAGCGTGTCCCTACTTCGCCGCAAGATCGATGGCCACCAGCGCCCATATTGTCTTCTGCCCCTACAACTACCTTATAGAGCCTTCAATTAGAAACAGTGTAGGTGTCTAAAATTACATCATATATACAGGGTTATTTTTCAAAGAGTAGCCAAATTTTAAACTTAAGTTCAAATTAATATGTAATGATATATCGTTATTGCAGTTTTTAAAAATGCGAGTAAATAAGGTTTTTACTTTTATTTGAAATTATCCCAAATTGAATGTAATTTATGGGCAACAACGTATTTGCCTACCGATCGATGCTTACGTTTGTGTGCGTGCGCAGTAAAATCAGTTAAAATAATGCATTACCACGCATTTTGAATTTAAAAGATAAAAAGGACAGAATGTCTGCAGATCTACGAATATTTTGAAATAGCATCTACAGAATTCTACGGAAATTTTTATACCAAGCTACGGATTTGGAAAAATTGTTAAGTTGGTAACACAGGACATAGGCATCTCTCGTTGTAGAGAGTTTGCTTTAATAGTCACACTTTGAAGGTGGTCACGTCTCGCTTGCTCCCTGACCTCTTGCCGGTCTAAGTATTTAACGTCTAACTTAAATGAGATATAGATAAAGGTTAGCTGGAAGTAAATGCCTTTTCGGCATTAAGTTCGCCTTTGTATCAAATTATTTTTTTGTTTGAATGCAATAAATAATTTTCTACCTATCTATCTATAAGACAAATCCAAAGACAAAGTCTTGCCTTTTACGATACCCATGAGACGAACAGGGATGATGAGTGCAGTTAGTTTAGTTTAGTTTACGACGGGCTTTTTTCCTTAACTCCACGTGTGGGCAGGAATAACGTAATTATTCGAGCCATTTGATATCCCCGAATAAGTTCAACAGTCCTTTGATTTTGACGGCTCCGTGGCGCAGTGGCTTAGCAATGAGTTGATGCGCTAAGGGCCGCGGGTTCGAATTCCACACGGAACAAGTATTTGTATGGCCTGCAAATAATTGTTCCTGGTCTGGATGTTTGTCCGTGTGAACGATAGAGGAGACAATCCTAGTGTGAAGGTAACGTTTTTCAAAGTAAAAATCTAATTTCATAGCCAACCCGGACCAGTCGAGGACTAGATCACTTCTTATAAAACCATTTGGTGGAATTATATCTCCAGCACTGGCTTATTCAATATTATAAATGTGAACATCGGTATGTACAGATGTATGTCGCTCAATCGTGCTAAAAAGGCTAAATTAATTTACAGCCTGTCTTATTATATATATTATTACAACAGTTCACTGTTAAACAGAAGCCTCCGCCATAGAGAGTCTCAAAGTGGGAGATTTTGCCATAGTTACCACGCTTGGCAGGCTGTTTGTCAAAAGCAGGTTTTTTATTTGTTATTAGGAACTCTCTGGCACCTCTTTATGACACGGGACGATATAGGGTAGTGGATATTATTACATCACCACACGATACGAATGTAGTTACTTAAAGATAAAAATAAGTAACTCTTTGCCAAAAAATTTGATTATGTCATAGGATAGAATATGAGGTACCATTTTCCCAGTTATGGGCAAAGTGACCCAATAACGAAATATAAATAAAAAACCTGCATATGATATATTACCGCTTCAGATGCAAATCGATTTGCAAGGCAACATCGTGATCATTGACGAGGCGCACAACATCGAGGATATTTGCCGCGACGCCGCCACATTTACCTTCACAAGGGACAACATACAAGCCGCTATCAAGGTAATACCCTCGTAATCTTATCAATATCACAAATAATGTATATTATTTAATCTAAAATAATAATTTTAATAAGCCATTTGACTGGTAACGATGCATCATACCATCTCATTCTTCAGGGGTGACTAATCGTTAGGACTTTGATTTGACGTTTTCTAGAAGAGGGGGCAAACGAGTTTGCGATTCACCTGATTGTAAATGTCAAATGCCACCCATAAACAACAGCGACACCATGGGAATGGCAGGTACATTGACGGCCTTTTAAGAGGGCCCTTCCCGGCCCGTCTATCGTCAACGCGAGCATGGTTAAAAAGCTTGTTGTTTCATCCAGCGCAATGTTAGAAAAAGAGGCAAAGCGAAAAGAGAAAGACAGCGCCTGAGCGTTCGGTTGGCATTCGGTAACTTACGGGCTCGCTACTATGGCGCATAGCTATAGTTTTGTAAATTTCTCTACATGCCTACATTTAGTAGGTACCATATTATTTTATTATATTACTCTTTGTCTAGTATAGACGTGCGACTTGGCCTCGGAGATATGTGTGTGTTGTTTTTTACCAAACTAGGTATCGTACGTGCGCTATTTTTGACATGGAAATTATTTATGTTATAATTATAAATATAATATTAAAGAAATTATTTATGTTATAAATAATTTTATAATGTTATAAATAATTTTCCATGTAAAAAATAATATGTCGCAAATAAAAATAACTGTCACTCAGAGTCGGCCAACTCGTGTGTGTAAGTACACTCGGCGACACATCAAGCTATACATTTCCAGTATAACATGGCCTCGCTTTGTTTCAATTTCCCGTACAATAAGAGTACCGCATAAACTGGTTTATATACCTTGATTTGTCGTCGTACGTACAAGCCCAGCACGCAAACATTCACAACATATTAGTCGGCCGTTACACGCGCAAACATCAATACTCAGACATAAACTGGACTCAGTTTTGTTTTAGCAGGGTGTTCCATCCAACTTATATTGTTCGTCCATGTTATACCTAAACAGAGCACGAAAATGTAAAGGTAAATAATTTATTCTGCTTATGGAGTAGCGGTATAAACAGAATAAACTCTTTACCTGTCTAGGCCGTTTGTATTTAGGAAGCTGAAATTAGGTAACGTACCTACTTGTACCGTATGTAAATGTCTCCAAATGTTGTTAAGGTTCTAATTTGTACCGTAGTACAGGTGGTTGATCACAAAGAAAGTAGTCTAAATAGAGTTGGGTATAAATATATATTTTTATTCTAAAGAACTTTGTTACACTTTATGAACAATACATAAAACAACCCGGTTGTCGAGACGATTCCGATTTCCGAACACAAAGAGTTTACTGTCAGAAGTGATTGAAAATTTAGTAAAAAACATATTATTATCTAATAACAATAGTAATATTCTCATTCTCAATAGTAATAAAATCAATCTGCTTCAAAATCCTTATCCAAACAAAGTCTGTGTCCGTATTCACAAATTTCAGGTTCGTTTCACATAATAAAATAGCTAAACCTTCGCTAGCAAAATCAGTGTCGGGATAAAAAAAAACGTTGTAGTAGGTAAAACAGATGTCACTAAATATAAAATGCAACGGCACATTGACGAAGCGCAGTCAACAAATTGAATACCTACTAACAATTCCGAGAGGCCAGAGAGCCGAACGCGTGCGCCACCGGCGCTCGTCATTCAACTCCCCCGTCTCACCCCGCCCCTACCCCACACGACTTGTCCCCCGCATACCTCTTACCGCCACTTGGCTAATAAGCAAGTGAGAACGCGATATTATTGAACGAAAAATAGTGTGCGGGAATTTCATAAAACTTGTTCCAGGAAATACGTGTTTTTCAGTAACCCACAAGTTTGTGATATAAATTTTTGTCATTTAGTCAGTCTCCATTACATTGGCGAGGTTTCTATAATTCTTCTTAATAATTTCTTTACTTTTACTATTAGTGAGTACATTATGAACGACCAAAGTTCAGGTAAAATTTATGCAAAAAAGCAGATTTTTGGAGGCTTATACTGAATTTGTTTCTACAAATTTAGATTTTTTGTTTAGATAGGAACCTAGATATAGTGCACAAAATACCTATTAATTATATTATATATTAAAATTTTCATTTCATAAATTAATCATTTCATATAATATAATTAATAGGTAAATATAAAATGAAAAGTTAGACGGGTTGGCCGCTTTTAAAAAGAAATAAGCTCGAGTCATTAGCCAGAAGAATGTACGTTACGGCGATATTTACTGATAGCGATATAAGGGCTTTTGACTGTAACACAGTCAAAAGTCCTTATATCGCTATCATAAAATATTTTATATAAAATGGGGAGGTGTGGAATTCAAGGACTAGTTCTTGATTAGTTTATGTCATACGTTTCGCATAGGAAACAAGCCACAGAACTGAATGTGTAAAAAGTGACATACTTCTTTGTGGAATCGTGAGTCGGCGATTATTCCGCACATGCATGTACATGTTTCGTAAAAACCAATAAAATATTGATCGCGTCTTACTGATAATGGCAAGTCATTCCATAATCGCGAACAGCTTATACAGTAAATGTCCCATCCAAAAATTTGGTAGTGTGAGATGACATTTTTAATATCAATTTTTTTCGGTGATCTGAAAAAGTGTTTCTCATGGAGAGAATTGAAAAGAACGTTATAAAGAAGCGAGAGAATATGATCACTTCAGCAAAGGCAAATTGGCATCCACATGAGATGTTAAGGCGGCAACAGACCTGTTTACATCGGGACGTCAAACATCTCAGCCCCCCCCCCCCTCCCCCATGACCATAAAGCACCCGAAACATCGGGAATTAAAATAGTAAATTAAACGCGATAAAATCCGTAAAAATAGTTTTATTCAATGTGTAGTGTTCGCGTAAATATAATAAATCATTAGGCCTGTTAAGTTTGTTAGATATTCTATTCCTGGCATAAATTTTAACTTTGACAGCCGTTATAGTTTTTTATTGCAACAAATCATTTATTCCAGGAGCTGGAAGTGGTCGCTGGATACAGATACGCGAACCAGGACGTGATGAGCTACATCGAATACTTATTGCAGACCCTCAGACGTTGGGACGAATGGTAACTGTATCACAATCAAAATAAATTAACAGCCTATAACCGTCTCACAGTAGGTACAATCATCTTTTCATTTTGACAGATTATAATTATTTTAGACTAGCTGTTTCCCGCGACTTCACCCGCGCGTAATTTATTACGATTGGATTTCATGGGTTTTAATTTTTTGCGCGGAACCCTAATTCTTTTTCTAAAATAAAAGTAGTCTAAGTTACTTGTTATAACATCAGCTATCTGCCAGTGAAAGTCCGGTCAAATACGGTCCAGCCGTTTCGGAGATTAACCGGAACAAACAAACAGACAGACAGACAAAAATTTTAAAAATCGTTTTTTTGTTATAAGTACCGTATATACTTTCATATGCATATAGTAAAAAGCAGTTATTTCGACATTATAAACAGACACTTCAATTTTATTTATTTGTATAGATTAAAGTATTCAACATGACTTCGAATTCTTAACAAGAAATAAATTACTATTTAATTAAAAACGATTTGTCTCTGAATCCAATATACGAGGACATACTACTGGAGAGAAAAGGTTTCATGTTATCTAGACTAAGTCCTGGGTTTTCTACGTGGTAGAGCCATGCTGCAGCTATATTATGGTTGTAGCACGAATGGGTCGGCTCGACCGGGGAAGGACCACGCTCTCACAGAAAACCAGCGTAAAATAGCAGCTTAACGCTGCTGTGTTTCGTATGGTGAGTGTAGAGAACCGGAGACCCTTTTTACTGGCAAAGAGGCATTCCATCTTAGTCCTCACGGGTGACGACGCATCTGCATTTTGATTCTTTATTGAGGATAGATGTAGATGTCTATGGGTCACAGTAACCACTTACCATCAGGTGGACTGTGTGCTCGTTTGTTACCCGATCCTATAAAAAAAAATATACATATAACTCTTTAAAACAACTTTCTACTTGATCCTTTTAACTAATTTGACCATTTTAATTCCAGGTTCGTAAACCAGATACCGCTAATTAACAAGCAGGCGGTGAGCGGCAACGAGGCAGTGTACACGTGGCAGGTGGAGCACTTCGTGCAAACGCTCAACAACCACAACATCGGACAGCAGCATTACAACGGTCAGCTATTGAGAAACGATACGATATCATACATTTTAATCGAATCGGTGATGACACGTGGTAGAGCCATGCTGCAGCTATATTAATAGTATAGTTGTAGCACGAATGGGTCGGCTCGACCGGGGATGGACCACGCTCTCACAGAATACCAGCGTAAAATAGCAGCTTCATGCTGCTGTCTTTCGTATGGTGAGTGTAGAGACCCGGAGACCCTTTTTACTGGAAACGAGACATTCCATCTTATTACTTGTCACACGGGTGACAACGCATCTGCATTTTGATTTGTAATGGAAGAGAGATGTAGATGTCTATGGACAACAGCAACCACTTACCATCAGGTGGACTGTGTGCTCGTTTGTCACTCTTATCCTATAAAAATAATTGTTCGCTGGGAAAAATTTTCTAGTTTTAACTACGTAATTAAAACTGATAACCGTACTCCTGGTCCCCAAGATACAGGCTATGACTAGTTTGGGGTCTGCCAGTAAACTTTTTATATGTAATGAGAATTAAAAATAATTTAATTTATTTGTGTTTAGCTTTGTAGCTCCATTTTTGGAGTAAATGATTTTTTATTTATTTATTTATTTTATTCTAAGACAAGAAGTCTTATAACTTCCACTTTCCGTATTCAACTCTTGACCGTAAACCTCGTTCTAACGTCTTTAAGATTCATATACGTCAACATAGCACCGGTTTCTATAATTATTCATTTACAGTACATGGAATACTTTTCTGGAATGCCCTGCCCGTTATATAAGAAAAGCACCGAATAAGCATACGTTTAAAAAACTGGTCCGACAACATTATCTTGAGGAAAACTACATTTGACCCACAATTTGTATATATTGATCTTTTATAATTATTTTGATTTCTATATGTATATTATTCTTGGACATCTGAAACATAAATAGCACTAATTAATTAAATATAATATTTGTAAATATACACATAAAATTGTTACTTACCTTATGTAGTTTTTGCTTTTACTATATTAAATAAGTAGGTGTGCATACGGGGATGGTAGCATTTACCGCGATTTTTATAGTAGGATGAAGGTATATTTGCAACATTGGTGTTGCACCGTTGAGTACATGATCCCGCGCTTAATGTCAGTTGCACTATGACTAGAACATCATCAGCCTATGTCTCCCTCCCCGCGGATGTACACGCACTCGACAAAAATTTATAGTTTATTTTTCTTCTAGGCGACACAAGCGGTCTAATTCGTAAACAGATAAAGAGAGTCAGAATATTTACAAGCTGTGAGGCATTCGATCTTAGTTCTCGAATGTCTCACAGGGGTGTCAACGCGTCTGCAGTCTTGTTTGTTTGAAGTTAGCTCCAGCCAAGATGGACTGCAGTAGCTTAACTTAACTTACCGTAAAGTGGACTGTATGTTAGTTGGTCAGTTCAATTTGATAAAGAAATGTATGTATGGTGTACAAATTTCTGAATGTAGTCATGTAAACATTCAGAAATTTGTTATTGTGCAATTTATGTACACAAAACATAAATTACACATCTACTCTATGCTTCCATGATAAATGAGAAAATCATGGAAAGGTTTATTTTAACATAAAACTTAACTAAAACTAATTCTTAGTTTATTTTTGTAGAATTTCGACAAAATGCTGAAATATTCTGTAAACGCCTGCGCGAAGACCCGCGTACTTTGTTCGGTATAACTCAGGCAACCGGCACGTTGATCGAATCCATCGATACAGTACTAGGTGAGTTGTGTACCTTATGTCCATGCGATTTTGGTTCTTTTCATTAATTGTGATTTGATTCCTTTTTTAATTAAACACATCAAGACGGTATAGGGATATTTTAACAACACATGAATTACAAAGAGTATGTCAATATGTTCTTAACACATATATATATCCAAGAAAAATTTATTTAATAAGCTACCATTTTTTATAGGATAGAATAGAATAGAATGATTTTTATTCAATATTATTACATAATACTTATTGACAGTAATTTTTTTATTTACCGCTGGTTCGAAAAATACCTGTTCTGGGAAGAACCAGCAAGAAATGTTATTAAAAATCAGCGATCAGACCCGGCTTCGCACGAGTGTTTTCTGGATCTCAATAACTCATACTCAAACACACAAAAAATTTCATGAAAAGCGGCCGAGCCGTTTTTGAGTGTTAGCGAAACTAACGGACAGCAGTTGATTTTTGTATATAGAGATATTCTTATACCGTGTTGATTTATTAATTTTGAACTATACCATATTATTAGCTTTTGATAATTGTTCATTACATTAATACTCTTCGTCGATCCCTCTCTCTCTTCCTTTCTCCCAGAGAGGGCTCTCACTCTCTCTCTCTCTTTCTCCCACTATCTCTCTCGCTCTCTCTACCCTTTCAAGGGTGCCTGTGCCTAGCGTATGTAGATTGCTACTTTTACTTCTTACTTGCAGTATAATAAAAAAAAAACTTCTACCCGCAGGTTACTTGTTTCGCTGCTCGGGAAAGTATATGGACGATTTCAAACCTGCTCTCATACGAAACGTAACCGGCTTAGACACGCTATCAGATGCTGTCTCATGGCGGTCCTCACAGTTTAACAGGGTTTGTTGTTTTGTAACTTCATGTATATTATATACACACTTAAGGCTAAAAGCTAAGCAAAAAATCAATAATAAAAATATTCTAGAATCAGATATAGTTTATACGATAACAGGAATAGGTAAGAACGTGGGGCCTACCTAGACGAACTTCTAGGCAGAAAAAGAGTCCTACCACCTGCTACGTAATGAAATCATAATCATAATTTATTTGTAAAAAAACATGGTACATTACTGAGTCAGCTAAGTAGAAACATGTAACTATTTATTTTAGAACAGACCTTTTCAACTTGGGCTTTCCAGTTCACGTGTTTGTCCAATAATATTTCCAAAAATGTTGTTTCAATCATTTCATTAGCAGATTGTCCATTGTAATATATATTAAGATTATTATTCAATGTTCCATAAAATACTAAATTGAATATAATATGTCTTTTCGACGTTAATGTATAAATTATTATATGTCACCCACTTTGAAATATTGTCAATAGTATTATTAATATTAGATTCATAAATGTCTATTTTTTATTTTTTTAAAACGTTACCCCCACACAATCTAGGATTTTCTTCTGAATCGTGGAGGCAGTTTACAAATACAAATTACACAAAAACAAACATACTGCCATCCTTTGTGTGTGCTGTGAAATGTCATCAGCAAATAAAATACATTTGACGAATAAAATACATTTGACGAATAAAATACATTGAATAAAATACAATGACGGCACCGTGGCGCAGTGGCTTAGCAATGAGTTGCTGCGCTGGGGGGCGCGGGTTCGAATCCCGCACGGAACAAGTATTTGTATGGCCTATAAATGATGGTTCCGGGTCTGGATGTTTATCCTTGTTAAATTTGTGTTTGTAAACTGCCTCCACGATACAGGAGTAAAATCCTAGTGTGGGGGTAACGTTTTTAAAAAAAAATAAAAAAAAATTATATAAAGTTGAGTCAGGTAAGACATTTATGTATAAAATGAAAAGAGTTGGCCCTAATACAAAACCTTGTCGAACTCCAAATGAATTTAATCTATCACTGGATTTGTAGGAAGTTAATGTCTGTGAATTGTCAATATTTGTTACTTCTACAAATTATATCCTATTTCTTAGATAGCTAGCAATTCAATTTAGGACAGGGCCTCGAAACCCTAAATTATCGAGTTTTTCTAAAAGTATTTTGTGGAATACAAAGTCAAAGGCCTTCGACATTTCAAAAAAGATTGCTGTAACTCTTAACTTATTATTGATAGCTTTAACAATTGCGTCTACAAGATCATATCCAGCAAGGCTTGTCGATTTATTATTTTGAAAGCCATATTGCTCACTTTTAATTAAATTATATTTCGTAATAAAATCTACAATGCGTTTAGCCATTGCCTTTTCAAATATTTTAGATATAACTGAGACTATACTAATAGGTCTATAATTATTAAAATTTTTAGATTCACCCTTTTTATGTATCGGCTTAAGAACTGACTTTTTTAAGATGCTAGGAAAAGTAGTTTTTTTAAATGACAGATTTATTAGGTAAGTTAATACTCTACCTAAAACCGTACAACAACTTTTAATAACATCCGGTGAAATGCCATCAAAACCTTCCGACTTCGTATTATTTAATGTTTGTATTAATTTCAATACTTCATCAACAGTATAAATTTCTAAATACTGCTATTACATACTCTTAGATTATTAGTGTTTTGGCATTGATTACCGTTTTTATTGATATTTGTTGATTCAATAAAATGGTTGTTGATAACTTCAGCAATTTGTTGAGGGTCTGTCAAAAAATTATCACTTATACAAACTTTTTCATTAAATTATTATTTATGCAACAAGTCTGAATTTTTATTATATTTCAGGAAGCACGACACTTATTTTTGATTGCTCAATACATTTATCAGTATTAAGTTTTTGAGCTTGATTTAAACAACGTCTTAGTATAACGGAATAAATCCTATACTTCATTTTATTCTGGTTCGATTTTACTTTATACTAGTTAAACCTAAGCTTTCTCTTCGTTGTACAGCTTTTTCTCAGACCTTTTGTTATCAAATTAGGTCGATGAACTCTAATTAATTAATACATATCCTTATTTTAGGAAAGCATAACTGGTAAATTAACATAAAAGTATGAAAGAATTTTTGGAAAGCTATCAAAATTCACTGATGATTTCAATGAATTATCATTGAAATCATCAGTTTGTATAAAAAAGGTTATTATAATATTAAGGAATTTATGCATGATAATAACCCCAGGTGATCGCTACCAAGCTATTTCAAATTTGTTGTTTGATTGTAAGCTGTTATTAAAAAAAGTCCCGCTGGGTTTCTTGCTGGTTCTTCCCAGGACACAGGTTTTTTTTCGAACCAGTGGTAATTAAACAAGAGAGTGACTTTCAATAAGTATTATTTATAATCTATATTGAATAAAAAAGTTTATGTTTCATCAGAAAAAGTTAATCTCTATGTACAGTATTTAAATTTATTAACATTTTCTTTGAAATAATGTCGTTTAATAATATAGTACTTTAGGAGTGGTATTTCTTTGTTAAATACAGGAACGTGTAGCATTTGAGCCATGTCATGATCCGATAGAACAAGTGGTAATAACTCTGCAGTAGCATCAATCACATTACTAAAGATCAGATCAAGACAGGAGTTCAACCTAGTTGGTTGATTGATATGTGACGTTAGATTAAAAAAATTTAAGAGACTATGCAACTTTTCAGTGATTTTATTATTTTCCATGATATTAACCTCTCAGACCTTGACATTTTATTGGACATATTTAGTTAGAACTATGGTCAAGCCAAAGAGTATAGTAGGTCAGGCCAGACGATTTTTTAAAAAAATGGTAAAAATAACTTAGAGTCATTACTATGTTCATATCCAAAAATAAAAAATTATCAACAATTAAAATATCGAATTATTTATATGAAGGTCAAGTGAGCGCTAGAGTGACGACGATTGCATGACGATTTGTCGATAAATGAAATGTTTCGAGAAATTATCAATTACTGTGTAGTGGCGGTGTATGAATATTCATACTATTCCGTGGGTTTCGTAAGAGGCGACTAATCCACTGTTCAATACAACAAGGTACGTGTACCGTGGAACAGAACGTGGCAACTATGACAAGTATACCCTCTATGAGGAATATAGTGGAGGCCTATGTTCATCGGGGGTTTTTATAGGATGTAACGGTCCATCACCAGCAGTGGAATGAAACTGTAAGGAGAGGGAGGGATTAATTTTATTATTTAAAAAATATTTTTGTGGTTTTTTTTTCTAGAAGAGGGGGCAAACGAGCATGCGGCTCACCTGATGGTAAGTGACTACCGCCGCCCATGAACAACCGCAACACCAGGGGAATTGCAGATGCGTTGCCGGCCGTTTAGAAAGGTGTAAGCTCTTTTCTTGAAGGTCCCTAAGTCGTATCGGTCCGGAAAATCCGCCGGTGGTAAACAATTATGTGTAAAAAAGTCATCAAACAGCATCAAACAATTTATTAAACAAAAGTTGCGTAAACAAGTTCAATGGTTAAAACAATATTAAATAACAAAACCAAACAATTCTACTGAAAAGAAAAAAAAGTAAATATTATTTCACTTTTACAACTAAGGCAAATCTAACGAATCGCTATATTATGTTAAAATTCAATATATATAATATATATATATATATATATATATATATATATATATATACACATATATATATATATATATATATGTTAAAATCGAATAAATATTATGAAGAAAGAAACAAGGACATAGAAACACTTGATTTTCATAAAGAAAAGAAATATATAATATAATTATATCGATAAACTCAGTAGAAGCCTCAAAAAAATTAAATCACAGGTATATACTTGTACATCCGTAAGATAGTGTAATAAAGTATATACTTTATTACGCTATCTTTGAGCAACGCCATTTTTCTAACGACTTCAAACAGGAGAAGGAAGTCGACTGTGTTTTTTTATGTGTGTTACCTCATAACCTTCTGGGTGAACTGATTTCGATGATTCTTTTTTTATTTGAAAGCTGGTGCTTCACATTCACATTTTTATTTTTAGTTATTGTTGAAAACAACTTCGCCATAATGTTCACTATATATCGAAATTATAACATAAAACGTAATTTTCGCGCATTGGACTTTATGGGATATGAAAATTTGTGTTTATTACATGATTTATTGTGATAACTCACACTTTTTATTTACTTTTTAGTTAATTTTGGCTATTAAATATAGTGATACGTGAACGACACAGTATTTGAAATGGCAATTTTATAAAATATATGAAATTGTTACGAAGCAAAATATAAGGAATTAAATTTTAAAACAGTGTAATTACTTACCATTTGTATAAAAACTAACAAAAAACTTTCTATTGTACCCACTTAATTTTTTGTAAAATTTCTAGTTGCCTCTTACACTCACGCGGCGAAGGATATAAGACTAAAGTATGTGACGTAAACGCGACGCGAGGCGGAAACTCGTCATTTGAAGTAAATTCTGTTAATTTAAAGAAGCGTAATTTAATAACGAAACTAATTCTAATAAAATTTTAGTTTTATAGTTCATCTAAATAACATTTAAAAAATAATTGTTATGAGCACAATAACTATGGTTCTGACTAAACGTAGTGTAGTGATCATATACTCTTTGGTTCTGAGGGGTCCTTTGTAAATACTACCATACTCTTTGGAGCGTTCTACAAAGTTGACCTTGGATTGCCTCATGTGTACTTCAAAGGCTTGACAGATTAATATTAAAATCACCAACAAATACGAACTTGGTCCTACTACTTTTATTTAAGGTTTTGAAAAGGAGATAGATATTCTAGATTTTCAAAGATCAATTCTAGATCATGTATGTTCCTTCTTGGAACTCTATATATACAAATAACTTTAATATTGTGTTTAACAATCAGAAAGCCACAGCATTCAAGATAATGATCCTGACCTATACTATTAACTTTCTCAAATACCTTAATGTATAAACCATTTTTGACCAATATGCACCTTTTTTGTTTTTTCTATAATAAGAGGTAGCAAGATCAAAGCCATGTAATCGAAGATTTTTCTCACTACCTGCTACGACAAAAGTTTCACTCAGGCATAAAATATCAGGATCTATATTTTTGCTATGCAGCTCAGTCAATGCAATTTCAAGAATCTCTTTTTCTCTCGAAAAACTCTGTATGTTTTGGTGCATTATTCTTAGATTATAATCATTATTTTTTGTCACGAAATAACTTATCAGTGGATTTATTAATTATTGCACTAAAATTTAAAGTTTGTTTTACTAGATTTTCAAAGTTGTTATTTTTTTTTTCTATTTTTTGATAATAGAATGATATAGTGCTTTTTTTTTAGGAGCTGTTGAACTGTTTTGTTAGAGACTAGAACAGAACGTTTTATATACATTCTAATGTTTTCATAACAAAAGAACCGCTTTTTATAATCATAATAATCAATTAATTTTGTCAAATATATTTGGCAAATAACTATTTTTGTAATAATTAAAATTTTTAAAAACGTCGACGACAAAGTAAAATCTTAAATTGTAATTTAATGTTTTTTCATTCTAATGTGGATTATGCAAAATAAGTATAATAAAAGTACAGTCGCCTTTCATAATTTGTTGATTAAAATACATATGTCAGAGTGTAGCCTATGTAAATGTTTATCATTACTACCGAAACCAACTATTACAAAGTCGTTTTCCGTTAGTTCATTTAACAAAGAGTGATCATAGTTTAGTAATATTCCTGCACCGGTAGATCCAGGCACAATATGACCATAGATTTTATAGGTGCCATTCCATTTTCCACATCTTGACATAGTTAGAGCTAAAGACAATTCACGTAGTTCATGGTAGATTTAAGTTGACGACTTCTAGTTTTTTTTTGGTGTTGTAACTTCTTGTGAGGTCCCAGCAGTGACGCAGGTGTTAATGTTATGGCTATTTGTTAACGTGCAGCCATCTAGTTGCGTCAAAGGGAAACTACTCGGTGCATGACCTATGTGAGGAGGATTTTGGTTTTCATATTCCTTTAGGGATATATTAGTCTATTTTCTTTACTTCCTTCTTTTTTTTTCGTGGACTTACTTGAACTTGATGTGGTAGATTTGTGGTAGATTTACATATATGGTTCAAATGATTGACCTTTAGCTCATATTTCGCTACTTTTTTTAAGTTATGGTTTTCTGAAGATAAAATCGTTATTTCATTTTTTGCTATCTCAACATCCAGCTTCAGTATTTTTTTTATTTCAGTTCATTAATTTCATCATAACAATGCATAGCCAGAGAGAAACTTCGGTGTAATTCATGATGTGGTGTTGAATTGACAGAGGTATAATGAGGTATAATGATTCTTCTCCATCAGAGAGATGGTCAGAAAAGCATTGTAAGAAAATATTTTTGTTAATTTTCTTGCGTTTTGTTATATTTACATTTGCAATCCTGACTTTATCGATATTTGCTGGTTAAGTAATTAACTGGTTGATGCCCTGAGACACGTATCGAATTTGAATGCTTTTTTGGAAGATGTTGACATTATTCTAAATCTTTGAAATGATATGCTTGTACAATCTAAGTGAAATGTTTTCTCACACTAAATGCACACTAAAATTTGCTTATTTATAATTTCTTTAGTGCATTTTATACAGGTCAGAGACATCTTATATAATAGGCATGTATTATTAGTCAAATATCAATTTATGTTCTTGTTGTCTCTAAGCAAAAGTTGTTGCGTGGTTCTAATCTTTTTTACTAGATTCGTGTTTGACTGTTTTATACACTATTCACTCAAATCACTTTAGTATTGATAGCACAATAAATGTTCAATATTTCTTTTAGATAACACTTTTGTCCATTTATTGCAAACAGTTCTTCACATGATACAACACATTACCGAATTTCAACAATTATGACTATTTTTAAAATTTATAAATAACAGAGATTGATTTTGACATGATAGCAGCTACTGCCCTCTTTACATAATATGCGTGTGCTCAGCTCAGTTACTGTCCCAAGCTATCAAATTTCACTGCTGAAAACGGGCCTGCAGTAGGATGTATATAATATTATATAGTGTTACTTAATTTTTTTAACTCTTGACAGGTAGGGCCTGTTCATGTGACGTAAAGCGTGTAATTTTTTTTCAGTCAATAGACAAAGAAATTCTGTCACTGCGTCTGATGTGCATGAACCCGGCAGTGATTTTCGAGAGTTTGAAAAAGGCGCGTTGTATCATGTTGGCTTCGGGCACACTCACGCCGCTCGTCAGCCTGCACTCCGAGCTCGCGACCGACTTCCCGCTGCAAGTCAGCCCCAATCACATCATACCGAGCGATCGGGTAAGCTGAAATCAACCTTATTGCTCACGACTTAACGTACAATTTTCAACAATAACTCTTTTAAAAACTAGGTATTAAATAAAACAAGTTTAAACTGTTCGTAAGTTGATAAGTAGTTACCATTTTCAGCAATTACTTTCATAGAAACCAGACGTTAAATACAGCAAGTTTAAACTGTCCGTAAATAGGTAAGGTAGTAGTAGTTCGAGGGTTCATGGTTGATAAAAAGCACTCTTTATTCGTGCATTTTTTCTTTTGTATAACGGACTGTAAGAGAAATAAAACGTTCTTTTTTTTAGTTATAGAAACCAGACCTGAAATTTCAACCTTTTCCTAGAATATACGGTTTAGCTTTGTGGATTGCAAAAAGATGCAACATTATAAATTCTACTTTCCGATATAAAACCAATGAGATGTTTCGATTCCGAACGATACGTCTGTTAGTTGACTTAAAGTTACAGCCTATATACGTCCCACTGCTGGGCACAGGTCGCCTCTTATTTCTGAGAGAGTCTTCGAAATATTTTTTTCTTATTTCTCAGACATGCAGGTTTCCTCACGATGTTTTCCTTCACCGACGAGCACGTCGTAAAACACTTAAAATTGCAATTAACAATTTCATTGGTGCCGGCGTGGATCGAACCCGGGTTGTTCGCGTACTGTGAAATTTACAGCGAGCGCTAACCTTCTGAACTAAATTTTATGAACGCCGTTAAATTAACATTACCTATAAAAACTACTGGAGACTTGGAGAATAAAAAAAATTAGTATCACAAAAATTAAAATTTCTAATTCAAATCATGTTTTGTTTACCTCAGACCGACAAGAATATAGTCTCAGCGCTGCGTTCTTGAGCTTGCTTAACTAAATGTTGTTTCACTGAAACATAAGTATCTTAAATCATTTGTAACAACAAGGTTATATGTGTTTATGGTTCGCGGGCTGTTAAAAATGAAAAAACAAATTGAAGTTTAAGCAGTGCTCCGTCTATCCTTATTTTTTGGTCTGAACGTCACTCGTTATAACATCAGCTATCTGCCAGTGAAAATCCCATCCAAATCGGTTCGCAGGTTTTTGCTTGATGCGTGTTCAGACAGATGTCGTGTTAGAGTTTTATTATAGTGTAGATGAAAATATCTTTATGTATTTCAATAAAACATTAGTATCTTATAAAGAATTATGATAAAGCGTTTGAATATACAGTAAATACACTATATTAGCGGGAACACCAATTCTTTCAGTAATCCCAAAGAAATATAACTTATAAATTTTTCAATAAAATCTTTAATGCAGATCATTATAATCATTACAATGTATTTAAAACGACATGATACGACTTACACAACAATGAACTATAAAAAATATAAAATTAAATCGAATCACAAAAAAATCTTATTTGGCGCTTCCGAGAGCGTGCTCGGTATAGCTATCTTATAATTTGCGTACATGAACTTACTACATCACTTTCATTTTGACACTCTCAGTCGTCCGTGAGCTTCATCAACGACGGGCTATGCCACGCCCCCAAAACTACGATTTATTTTCAAGGTATCTTCTTAAGGCTCCCGAAATATGACTACTTACTTTTTCCAGGTATGGATAGGTTCCCTAACAACATGTCCTAACGGCACCAAGTTGGAATGCAACAGTCGTGGAACCGACCAAATAGAGATACAAGACGCGCTGGGACAAGCGGTGTTATGGGTGAGCAAGGTGACCCCTAATGGCGTACTTTGCTTCCTTCCTTCCTACCAGCTCATGAATAAATTAGTGAAACGGTATGGTAATATTTGTTTCTATTCCATTGTTATTTTATTGTATTTGTAATTATATTAGTAACTAATTTTATATCAAATAAACGAACACACAGTCCGCCTGGTAGTAAATGGATACTGTGGTCCATAGACATCTACTTCTGTCTTCCGTTAAGAAGCAAAATGATTATTTTGGCCGAAAGCCTTGTAGTCAATGCCACAATGAATGTGATAATAACTTAAGTTGAAAATTCCTAAACAAAAATAGCTGATGATCTTCAACCGGCTGAACAATTTTCTTGAAACATAGCTAAGCTAACACCTTTCAAACGAAAAAAAAACTTTATCATATCTTCTTTATCATAACTTCAACCATTCAAAAGCTATGATGTCACAGACAGACAGATACGCAGATACACACTACAAAAGTTGTTACTCCTAAGAAATTAGATATTTTTTTAAATATTCTACTAAGCCAGCGCTTAACTACAATCCCACCTGATGATAAGTGGTGATGAAGCCTAAGATGGTGAAGCACACTGACTTAACAAAAGCCTATTCACTCTTGCCTTGAAGACACCCACATTATACTCGGATGGGAACAGAGATGCTGGCAACTTATTCCACTCCTTTGCTGTACGCATGATGAACGACGTGGCGAACCGTTTGGTACGAATGCGTGGTAAGTCAACAACGAAAGGGTAGAGACTGGCAGAACGTCTAGTTGTCCGATGTTGGAAGGGAGAGGGTGGAATTAAATTATGCAATTCCTGCGCACACTGTCCGAAATGCATCCTGTAGAAAACCGAAAGGCTGGCTACTTTACGTCTGTGTTCGAGGCTGGTAAGATTGGTTTTATCCAAATTCGCGTCCACCAATAAGCCTCTAGGTGGCATTTTGCAGCACCAGCCCATATACGGCAGTAATACTCCATGCACGACCGGCCTTGCGCTTTATATAAAGTAAGCAGCTGTCCCGGCGTGAAGTATCGCCGCACCTTTAATAATTAAATAAACACGTCACGTCGCAAGCATTTCTTACACTTTATCACATCATCATCATCATCATTACAGCCTATTAAAAGTCTATGACCGAACATAGGTATTCCTAATAGAAAGGATAGTTGCTTTAGTTGCCAGGCGGATTGGCGACACCAGTTTTTTAGTATTTTGCCCATCTCATATTTAATTTCTCTCTGTCACCCCTTACGGCACCCGTGGTAGTGGATACTCTTACACAACATGCTTTACGTACTATTTTAAAAAGGAAATACACATACGTTTTCAAGATGGCGGGAAACGAGCACTTGGCAACAGCTTAACGAACTAAAACACGTCTTCATGGAAAGCAGAAATGTGAGAGATCACAACGATGTTATGGAAGTAAGTGATTGCATTTATTTTAATCTGTGAATTGTTGTACATATTTTGGTATTCACCACTATGGGGAAGGGGTCTTATTTTAAAATACTAGTAAATCTTTTAACATTACTTTTATCTCCAACTATCAAGGTCCTCTCTATCTAGATATAAACTCTTATCATCAAGTGAACAGGATTAAAGCTCAAATGAAGCTGGACGAGGGTAGGACTGTGCCCTTACAGAATACTGACGTGATATAGCAGCATAATGCTGTTGCGTTTCGTATGGTGGGTGCTGAAACCCTCTTTAACCCCTGGGTAACAAGACTACCCATCTTATTTCTCAAGGGTGACAAATACTATTTATCTACATGTATCTATCTTAAATGAAGAATCAGAATAAGTTGGTGTCTCTTAGCCCACGGTGCGGGGTTTATGCTCTTAAAAAACTACTGTCAAATCGTCATTCTAACCGAACTCATCAGGATAAAAGGTGATAGCCGGCAAAATATAGAATCCTTTGTATGTTATTGTTGCTGAAATTATCTGTATAATCGGAAAGACTACAATCATCATTTAGTACACTACACACTTGGAAAAAACCATTGGATGAAAGTATGACTTGTTTTCTTTTTTTTTTACGTTAATAAAACGTTCACGTCCACAGTAAACTTTTTCTCTGTATCTGAAACCTAAATATTATATGTAGGCTGTGCAACATACCTCAAAACCTGAAAACGAAATTGTACAACCAGTGCGTGTTGCCAGTGATGACTTATGGAACTGAGACGTGGTCCTTCACTGCTGGCCGTATGAGGAAGCTCAAGGTCGCTCAGCGAGCTATGGAGAGGGCTATGCTCGGAGTTTCTCTGCGTGATAAACTTAGGAATGAGGATATCCGCAGTAGAACCAGAGTAACCGACATAGCCCAACGGATTGGTGAGCTGAAGTGGCAGTGGGCCGGCCATATAGCTCGAAGAACCGACAACCGATGGGGAAGAAAGGTTCTCGAGTGGCAGCCTCGTACCGGTAGGCGAAGTGTAGGGCGTCCCCCCACGAGATGGAGTGACGACCTGGTAAGACATGCAGGAAGTCGATGGATGCAGGTGGCTCAGGACCGTGCTTTGTGGCATTTTTTGGGGGAGGCCTATGTTCAGCAGTGGACTTGTGAAGGGCTGTAATGATGATGATGATGATGAGGCTGTGCAAATAAATATTCCGTGCCAGATCAGAACCCATGTTTGGCAGCGCCGCGAACAATTAACCCCTTCTCTACAGATTCGTCAATAGATTGTTAATTGATTATTTGTTATTTTAGGACTATTACAAATACGTTGCAACGAGTAAAGGCGCACTTCTGTTCGCTGTGTACCGCGGTAAGGTGTCAGAAGGAATGGATTTCAAGGACCATCAAGCTAGAGCTGTGATAACTGTATGTATTTCCTATGTTTATTAACCGTATGATGGCGCCGATGGTGAATCCATCGTTATATTCCGTTCCGCGAATGTTGTTAGAGGTGACTAAGGAAAAATAAACTTTTAATTTAAAGGTTAAACCCGACTTAAAAGAACTAAAATATAAAATAATTTCCCCGTAAGGGCTTCAGAAATTGGTGCTTATACATATTGTATAGATATAGAAGAATTAACCCGAAAGAGGACATCTTCGGCTTTTTCTGCCACCAGGGCGGCGACACTTTACAATGAGGTGAAATATTCGCCAGATTTCATAACGAGGAAGATAATTCCTTAAAGAAATGTAAAGGTTAATGTTTCTTTCTGTATTATTAGTTATATTTTATATTAATTAGATTAGAAATGAATTAACCAAACTATAAATATAACTAAACATAAGAAAAGTTAAAGAGTTTAAAAGTGCATAAAATTAAAGATCAAACCTCAGTGGTTTTATTTTAAGTATTAATATAATACTCTATAGAAACTGTAAAGTATTATTTAAAACTAATTCCTCAATTAACTGAAATTGTGTAACAAAAAACTTTACCTCAGTCACAACTAGTGACATCTGGTGGGTGCAATATTATTAGCCCTCATTCAGAAGCTGTTACGTGGAAATAATTTGATGTCAGGTTTTACTTTTTATTAAAAAAATAATGTTGTGGCCCTTTCGATTGGACCAGAAATTTTACAAGCTCAAGGTAACATCTTTCGACTTTTAGAGTTAGAAGTGCATATTTTTCTTGAATTTTTTTAAGACCACTCCTGAAGCATAACATATTTAATAAAAATTAATCATAAAATCAGTTCACAATTGAAGATTGCATTCGTCTCGTTTTTTGCGTCCAGAAAGACTTCATGGTCTCCGATAAATCAGAACAAATGTTATAAAAACAAGAAAATTAACCCTGAATAAAACATTAATACCTCCTGTTGACCTAGTATTTGAGTAATTGAAAGTGCCTAGCAAAGGGAGTTTCAAAGAGAACATTTTTTTATAGGATAAGGGTGACAAACGAGCACACAGTCCACCTGATGGTAAGTGGTTGCTGTGGCCCATAGACATCTACATCTATCCTCAATAAAGACTCAAGATGCAGATCCGTTGTCACCCGTGAGGACTAAGATAGAATGCCTCGTTTCCAGTAAAAAGGGTCTCCGGTTCTCTAGACTCACCATACGAAACACAGCAGCATTAAGCTGCTATTTTACGCTGGTATTCTGTGAGAGCGGGGTCCTTCCCCGGTCGAGCCGACCCATTCGTGTTATAACTATACCAGAAATATAGCTGCAGCACGTATAAAAACATTTATTAATTTTTTTCATTATAGCTTTACAAAAGTCCACTACTGGACAGACCTCAATCATAAATTGCCTCGTAGAGAATATTTGTATTTGATGCCACGTTTGTCGGGCGGTTGAGCAATCATAATTTTTTTTTAAATTCTTATTTAGTTGTTATAAGGAAGATGCTGCAGTTTCCTATTTCGTAAGAGGCAACAGAGGGAATCTCCCACCGGATGATATGGAGTAATGGATTCTCTTACGCCGCCATCAACGGCACAAAACATTTTATGAACGTCAACACATTTATTTTACATTTCGAATAAATTACAGAAACTAATAAATAAATTACTAAATGCAGGCAATCTGCCCCGGCTTCGCTCGAGTGATTTTTAAATATCGAGAGAGCCACCGACCGGGTCTAATTGTGTCTAAAAAATTTCATCGGTGATGATCTTTCATACATGCGGCATTTGATTTTCTTTTATATAGATTAGATTTTGTTTTGTATGCTTATTACGAGTAGTTGCCTGTCTGTGAGTTCATTCAGTTCAAGTGCAGGAAAAGTATACAGTCGTAATACTACTACTATTAAAATAAATTTCACAAAAATATACTTATGTTTATTCTGCGGTCTTATTAATCGTTGTTTTTTTTTTTATAGTATAAGGGTAACAAACGAGCACACAGTCCACCTGATGGTAAATGTTTGCTGTGGCCCATAGACATCTACAGCTATCCTCGATTACGAATCTCTCTTTCCATCTCTCTCTTTCTATTGTCATTTAGTAAAAAGAGAGAGAGCCACTTTTCACATTTTTTAAATTGACGTCGATTTTTACGAGTATTAATTTCACATAAGGTAGGTGTTCCATACCCGAACACTTTCGATATGGCTGTGAAGGAGAAGATGAAGTACAACGACAAATATGCTGCGGAGAGGAAGTTACTATCCAGTAGCGAGTGGCTTCTGGTGCAAGCTTACAGGTATTGTTGAAACTAAACAAATTACTAGATAACAATGGTATATCCACGCGGCAGCTTCTACTGTTGCATTGATGGGCCGGCTCAAACCGGGGAAGCTTTGCTTCTGCGTTTCGCTTGGTAAGTGCAAGTACCCCCCCCCCACCCCTCCCTCATAACATGACATACCACGGTAACGGAATTTAAAAATAAAAGACTGCCCCAAGAGGACACTAGCACCCCTGGTAATGGAGAATCCGCCACTGAGCATTCACGCCCAAACTATATCCTACTCTTCCTGAGCATGGGTGCTGAGGCTCCAGGGGGGGAGGGGAGGGGAGGAACCCTGCCACGCTAGCCATGGACTTCTCCAACATCAGGGGACTTCACTCGAACATTAACGCCGTCCACTACCGTCTGGAGTCGGTGTAGCCGGCCTTGCTCTGTTTGACCGAGACGCATTTGTCCTCCCCGGTTGATCCTACCTACAAATTTGTACACACCTTTGTGCCCTGGGCTAGAGTTTGCGTATACGTTAGAGAGGATATCTATCCTCGTAGAGAGCGACGACTATCCCAGATCCCATAGAGATAATACTCACACAAATCGACCTATCCACCACGTCCAAATACTTACAGATTCCCGGCTACAGCAGATCCGATTCGCAGAGATCGTGATTCTTGGAGATTTTAACGCGCACCACGCCGAGTAGCTCGTTTCACGTTTAACCGATCATGCAGGGAGATCTGTTTATGAATTTATCTTGGCATATGGTCTGACATAACTGGTTACTTCGGCGACACCGAATCGCCGCCGACGATGAAAGAGGATCATGCACCTTCCCTGTTGCACCTTCTGCTGACCTCTAATCTGGACGGATATCAGGTCTTCGTCGACGCCCCTCTCGGCTCTTTGGACTATTGGCTGTTGCGGAGTACGATGCCACTCACGTTCCCATCGCGGTTGCGTTCTGCACGCTGCTGCCGCGTTTGACACTATAGGTGGTAGCGGAACGGGATGATATGCGGTCTTTCTTTGCATCCTGGCCCTTGGGAGTGGGTTTGCTTCGCCCTGGATAATAGCAGTGCTGTTGCTGATTCTGTCACTGATGTGTTACTTCAGGCAATGGAACTATTTATTCCATTATCTGTGGTACCCATCGGAGGCAGATCACAGACTTGGTTTGATCGCTCCTGTAAAACTGCAGTACGCAGTAAGCAGAAGTGTTTTCAGGCCTGGGATGACGCTTTGACAGCCGGGGATGTAAAATCCAGCATCCTTAAAAATATTTAGTTATTTCCAAGGCAAAGTATTAAGTAAGGACTCTTTATGATGAACTCTTTCATCCAGAAGCGGCCCCACAGGTAGTCGAACTGTTCACGCAGTTCGACAAAAAATGAGATTGACTCTCCGTGATCGCGAGGGTGAAAACTGGTAGCGATCACCGAATGGTTATAGGCACACTGAACTTAAACATTAAGTTGGAGAGGTCACGTCTAATGAAGTCAACGGTCCGTCCCCTTCCTGCTCTAATCCAAAGTCCCGAAAACTTTCAGCTCGAGCTACAAAACCGTTGTCAGTGCCTAGAAGATTGCAATGCAGTGGACGACATGAATGACAACAATGCGGTCGGAGCCAAGTTTTGCAATACACGCCGCGGAAGAACACAAAAACTCTCCGATCACACTCTTTATCATGACTGTTAGACGGGAAATGAAGCTGTAGTCTTCAGTAGATTTGACAGCATACAGGCAATTGAACAGACAGATCTCCAAACACATGCATCCATTATAACAGTGGTAGAGCCACGCGGCGGCTTTTGCTGTCGCACGGATGGGCCGGCTCGAACCGGGGTAGTACCACGACCTCACAGAATACCCACGTGAAGTAGAGGTTTACCTCTGCGTTTCGCTTGGTGAGTGCAGGTGGCCGGAGGCCCTTTTTACTGGAAATGAGGCATTCCATCTTAGTCCTCACGGGTGACAACGCATCTGCATTTTGATTCGCAAACGAGGATAGATGTAGATGTCTATGGGCCGCAGCAACCACTTACCATCAGGTGGACTGTGTGCTCGTTTGTCACCCTTATCTTATAAAAAATAAACATGCGGCGGAACTTACGCAACTTTAATACTGCTCGTATTGAAGAAGCGATCGAGCCGAACAAGGGCTCCAAAGTCTTTGCCAGAGATCTGTCTGCCAGGAAGTGCCAACTGTCGAAGCTGAAGACCGAATGTGGCAGCATCGTTTCCGAGACACCTGAGATTTTGAGTGAGATTGAGAGGTTCTATGGGCAGCTGTACACGTCATCGTTGCAGCCACACGCAAGTGTGAGTAACGATCCAACATCAAGGCTTATCCGACACTATTCCGATGATATCCCGGACGTCAGTCTGAGCGAGATTAGAATGGCTCTCCGGCACCTTAAAAAATGCAAGGCCCCAGGCGAGGATGGAATTACAGCGGGGCTTCTGAAAGCGGGTAGAAAACCGGTACTTAAAGTCCTTCAGAAGCTCTTTAATTCCGTGCTCCATTGTGTCACTACACCGGAGGCGTGGAGCAGAAGTGCCAGTCCAGCAGTAGCTTGAAAACGTCTTCCAATGCAGCGGTGAAGAGATTCGGGGATATAACGTCACCATGTCTTACATCCCTCTGCAATTGGATAGGTTTCGTACTCTGATTTTATACTCGGATAGCCATCGTAGCCCTACTATACAAACACTTCAACAATTCGATATACCGACATTCCACGTGGCACCGCTGGAGGGATTGCAGCACCTTTCAAATTTCGACGGAATCAAAGGCTTTCTCATAGTCCACATACGCATGACAAAGTGGCAGATTGTACTCTTCGGTCTTCTGTACACTTTGCCGATATATGTGGTCTATGGTGCTAAAGCCTTTTCGGAAACCGGCTTGTTCAGGAGGCTGGAAGTCATCGAGTCTGCATGCGAGACGATTCGTAATGACTCTCGAAAACAGCACGTAGACGCGGCTCAGAAGGGAAATCAAATCAGTAATCAATCAAATTAGTATGCTGAAATGGCAATGGGCCAGCTCGAAGAACCGACAACCGATGGGGAAAAAAGGTTCTCGAGTGGCAGCCTCGTACCGACAGGCGAAGTGTAGGGCGTGACTAGATGGAGTGACGACCTGGTAAGACATGCAGGAAGTCGATGGATGCAGGTGGCTCAGGACCGTGCTTTGTTGCATTTCTTGGGGGAGGCCTATGTTCAGCAGTGAACTTGTGAAGGGCTGTAATGATGATGATGATGATGAAGGCAAAGTATGTGCACATTAGCAGAATTTGTTCGCCCTCCTTAGAAAACCCGTGCATTCTGGTCTCTCGCCAAGGCTGTCCAAGGGAATTTCTGTACATCACTTCCATCTCTGCACAGGGAGGATGACTCACTGGCCCACGCCGCAATAGAGATAACCGACCTTTTAAGCTCCCTTTTTGCGTCCAACTCAACGATACCGGGAACATATCGCCGACCATTCCGCGGTGTGACTGCTCTATGCCTGATGTGCGATTCACGCAGTGCTCAGTCCTCAAAACACAAGTCTTGTGGACCTGACGGAATCTCCACAATTGTGCTGAGGATGTGTGCTGAGTTGGCACTGGTTCTTGTGCGTCTTTTCCTGTATTCTTGTTCCAGACGTTGTCCCGAATTCGTGGAATACAGCTTCGTGCACCCGATCCCTAAAAATGGTGACTGCGCCGATCCGTCCAACTACAGGCCCTTAGCCATCACCTTCCTGTTCTTTAAAATAATGGAATCTATTATTGACTGCCAGTTCATGCGGTAGTTGATTGGTGACCGCCATCATGATTTCCGGCGTCTTCGCGCAGCTGGTGATCTTCTTGTTTACCTAACATACCGATTGGCGCTGGCGATCGAATCCAAGGAGGGGGGAGGGGGCTTGATGATTAGTTTGGACATAGCGAAGGCCTTTGATCAGGTTTGACACAAAGTGCTTCGTTCGAAGCTTCCATCTTATGGGCTTCCCGAGAAATTATGCAATGGACCACCAGTTTTCTCTCAGATCGGAGCACTAAGGTCGTAGTCGACGGTGCATGCTCCGACTAGCCTGTGAATGCTAGTGTTCCACAAGGCTGCATGCTATCACCTACCCTGTTCCTTCTGCTTGTCAACGCTATGTTACAAGTCAGTAACATTCATTGTTATGCAGATGACATCACTGGCGATCCATTATACTCCGGCCGTGCTTTTATTTCTACGAAACACGTCGTCGAGTGCCGAAGTAAACTTGTATCTGAAGTCGAGTCTTTGTTGAACATAATCTCGGATTGGGGGCGACTAAATCTAGTCCAGCGTAATCCCCAGAAGACACAAAATTGCGCCTTTACCGCTAAAAAGAACCGCTTTGTCGTATCTTCTTAATTTCAAGGCACTAACCTCGTTGCCTCAGCTAGCATCGGAAGGTCTTATCATAACTAACAAAACGAGCCCAAACGCGGAGCACCTAGTTCTACTCGTCGAGAAGTTCCAGTAGCAGATACCGAAGTACACCTTCAGGTCACTCCATAAAGTCCAAGACGTATATAAGTGTATTTATATATAAAGCCTACTCACTTTTAGCCAAACAAAATATTGTAATAAAAATCTAATCAAAAATGATATCTTACCTTGGCAAGTATTTGGTTTTTCGAATGCTTTGTAATTATTTTTAGTTTTTTTATTATTATTATTATAAGAAATTACATGTACCTAATCTATGTTGAATAAAAATAATTCTATTCTATTCATTTTGGATTTCTACAGCGATCTTTTTCAGCACGAGCCGCTGCTTACAAGCGATACAGTATCCACTCACGATGGATATATGTAGTAAAATAAATTATTACAAGGCTGCTCAAAACTCCAAAAATTTCGGGATTTCCCAGCCGAAAAAAATTATTATAACTAAACAAAACAAAATTAAACTGCCATTATTTACATTCCATGGCTTCCCACATAATAGATTAGAAAATAGAAAAGAAAATAGAAATTAAAAAATAG